AGAATTCACTAGCCTGATAGCAAAATCCACTAGCCCCGGGCTATCGGACACTACTTTCTTTGCACGCTGGACAGCTAAGATAGGTTGCTAGGTAGAAAAAAGGCAAGTGGTTGTTAAGTAGACTAGCAAGTAGGTAAAGATGGAAATTAAACTATTATGTCACAACAACTTTGTTTAAAATAAACGAAAAATACCCTTTTATTTTATTGCCAGAGTATGTTATGCACAGCAGTGGCCTTTGAAATCCATTTCATCTTTCAAAAACATTATTGTTAAAACACTTAAGTTATATTCTTAAGTTAAGCCACTTAAGATGAAAATATAAACATTATGAGCAAAAAATATAAACATTGCGAGGAAATGCAGTTTAAAACTTCTACGGCTTAGGAACCTTCCACATCATATATATCATATGTGAATTAATGAAACTGTACATGTACAGTGACTACTACCTGTTACAATTCAAGTAATTCCTTAAGTTCTCCAATAACATGTACAAATGCTGCTTTTCCTCATTCCTAATAACTCTTCAACCACTACCAGGAGTTAGTCAGTTGGAACCAGCTAATAAAAAAAATTCCACTACATCTTGCCTAAACATTACTTGTGAGCAGGAAGCAGCAGATTGTTGGACTAAGTAATCTGGAAGCCCTCACTTCAAGTTCTGCCCTGACCGCTAGCAGGAAGTACAAATCTTGCTAATACTTAATGACTGGTTTGCAACCGTCCAGTTGGGATTCTTAACCCTGTTATTTTTTTTATTTAAATCATTTGATTTAGTCACTGATGGCTAGGCCTGATATATAGCACCTGTGCATGTAGGGGGTAAGTTATTATTTTTTATTTATTAGCAGTACAGTGCTCAACATGAACCTACTTAAATTGAATGCATGTCTCGTTTTCCCAATGTAGGTCACATGATCATGTGCTCTACAGAACAACCACTGAAATTTCTTCTTCACATTCATTTGTCAAAATGATCGCAACACAAAGACAAAGGGCAAATTCTCTTGTGATCAAAACATGACCTACACTAAGAAAACTTAAAAACACAAGCTAAGGACACTATTTCAGGTTGTAACTTTTAGGATTATCAGGTTGAATGGAGGATTATAGGTTTAATGAACAAAAAATACATCTCTCCATGTGCATCAGACTCTGTTGTAAATTTCCTTGCCACCTCTGTACAACAACTATGACATGAGAATGACCAAATTTTAAGTTTACTTCAGAATGGGAATAGCAAGGCGATAAATTTTACAACCTCTGTCTGAAATCATCTAGATGCCATATCACCTCTATTTGGCTCCAACCAAATTTCTCTTCTTTTAAGTAACCACGTGACTCAAGGTTTGACTGGACTGTCAGCAAAGTAATGCTGCCGAGCTTCCAGTGACATACCCACTTGTTTGCCTGGGATATTGTTCTGACATTGAGAACATCTCAGGGGCACCCAACGACGATTTCCTCCTGTATACATTGAAAACGCTTTTTAGGTTGTCCAAAGTACTTTTAGATCTCTAGAGATGAATTCTGAGCAGCACTATAAAATTTGTGTCTGTTTGGTCTCATAGGGAAACTTGAGTCTTTTCAATATTGTAAGCGCTTCATTATTTTATTTCCCAAAAATTTTAGATGCACTTTGAAGTTTAACAAAAGTGAAAATTTTCTGATTCCTCTCACCATCAAATTTCTGAAACCGAAAATTATAGGTTTCCTCTTTTTACAAAAAATAGCTTAACCTGGAGAGTGAAATGTGAACAATTAAACTTGAGAAAATTGTAGGGAATTTATTTCATAAGCTTCTAAACTTGTACATCAATGGAATGGTGATCTAGAAAGTTTTAACTGTTGTCAAGCTATAGAAAATTCTAAGTAAAATTTGTTNGTTGTAAATTTCCTTGCCACCTCTGTACAACAACTATGACATGAGAATGACCAAATTTTAAGTTTACTTCAGAATGGGAATAGCAAGGCGATAAATTTTACAACCTCTGTCTGAAATCATCTAGATGCCATATCACCTCTATTTGGCTCCAACCAAATTTCTCTTCTTTTAAGTAACCACGTGACTCAAGGTTTGACTGGACTGTCAGCAAAGTAATGCTGCCGAGCTTCCAGTGACATACCCACTTGTTTGCCTGGGATATTGTTCTGACATTGAGAACATCTCAGGGGCACCCAACGACGATTTCCTCCTGTATACATTGAAAACGCTTTTTAGGTTGTCCAAAGTACTTTTAGATCTCTAGAGATGAATTCTGAGCAGCACTATAAAATTTGTGTCTGTTTGGTCTCATAGGGAAACTTGAGTCTTTTCAATATTGTAAGCGCTTCATTATTTTATTTCCCAAAAATTTTAGATGCACTTTGAAGTTTAACAAAAGTGAAAATTTTCTGATTCCTCTCACCATCAAATTTCTGAAACCGAAAATTATAGGTTTCCTCTTTTTACAAAAAATAGCTTAACCTGGAGAGTGAAATGTGAACAATTAAACTTGAGAAAATTGTAGGGAATTTATTTCATAAGCTTCTAAACTTGTACATCAATGGAATGGTGATCTAGAAAGTTTTAACTGTTGTCAAGCTATAGAAAATTCTAAGTAAAATTTGTTTCTCCAAACAAATATTTTACAGAAAACAGTCATTAGGTGCCCCTGACATATGCTACAGGCCACAAGAAACAACATAGATTGTTTCCGCCACCATGCTTAAAGTCAAGCAAACATTTCGTAAATGTTGGTGGTAAAGACTGGCTAAGGATTGCCTCTGTTGCTGGCAACTAATTCTGTTCTCATATCCAAACAGAATCCCAGGTTGTGCTGGTCGCTATGTCACAGATAGGTCATAAGAGAACAAGGCTTACAATACTTAGTGGTCCCATAAGTTAATTCAGGAAAAAAGACCAGCCATGGAATATATGGACTGGACTAAATTGACATAGATTTTGCTGTGCAACACAGACATCCTTAAAGACCCACTCACCATCCTTGCACAGTTATGCTTGCTCTGCCAAAACTTGAGATCGCATTTGAGACAACAATCTTAGTTGTCCATTTCGGCTTTTTATTAGCCAAGCTTGCACAAATTTAATTGTTTAGCAGCAGCCATATGCCTTTTTGGGGGAGCAACATTGTCTGAAAAATCCTCTTGCAAGCACCCAACAATAATTCCCAACCACAATTTCCAACCAACATCCAAAATAATGCTGCTCGTACATCACGTAAATGATAAGTCCTCTTCACTGTCCGAGGACAAGTGCATGGGTGTTTTTCGTCCAGGTTTATACCTGGTATTCAAAGAAGGTGCTGCACCTCCTCCTGCTCGTAATCTGAAAATAAAACAAACAAACAAACAACTAAGCCAGTTATACTTCACCCAATAACCTGTAAAATAACTTAAATATCTTGCCTTGGACAGAATATATTGTTGTTGTTGTTGTTGTTGCATTGTAAGGAGAGATAGGTGAAAATTTTGTTGTTTGCACATTTGAGACACTAATATATCGTTATAAATGACATATTCAAAAGTTGTGTTTTTGCAGTTTTTTTCCTGAGGTTGCGGGAATATTCAATCTAGTATGAGGAGGAGTATGAAGTCTGGACCAGGATCTTAAGAGCAATGGTCAGGCAATATCGAGCAATGAGTGGCAAGAGTTGAAAAATCGATTTCTTTCATTTTTTTCTCCATAGATATCTTTTGCATAGATAAGAAACGTGATGTAAATTGCTTCCACCAAAAGCCTTTTATTTGCAAGAAAAATAAGAATATTGGTTTTCGAGGTTGGAGTCTCAAACTAGCTTAATTTTTAACCTGAAATTCGCTAACATCAACTTTCTTTGCATTCACAAACAAAGCTGCACAGAGAAATTTGGACACTTTCCATCAACAGAACAACTCTTTTTCATTCACTAGAAGATACTTTCAGGGAAATAGCAAGACTCATTGAACTGAAATACTTCAAAAATGAGGAATAGGCTTTCATGATATCGAAAACTTAAGTTTATTACTCATTTTTGACGGCAATATTTAACTTGTGGTCTAACTCCAAATTTTCTTCATCCTGGTTTAATAAGTCACACCTTTAGACATTCCTCTAGTAAGTGAGAATAATATAGACAAATAATTAAGTGAAAGGTTCCTCCTTGTGGTAGATACATATTACTTAACGCTGCCTGCCCAGCACAAACAAATTTTGCTCAGTTGCCCACTTCTCAGTTATAAGGGTCTAAATATTCTCCCACTCGCTGGTCATCTTATTATTTATTTGATTGGATCAAGAATAAAAATGTCTGGTGGAATAACTTTCTCTCAAGTTTAAAGGCTGTTTTTCTTACCTTGAATTTAAATGTTCTACTTCAACTCTGTAACCTTCAGCTCGTTCAGTTTGTTCATCTAAATTTCGTTGAAGTTTTCTTAAGTTGTTTGTTTGTGCATCCAACTATAACCAAAGCAAACAAGCCTTAGAGAAGGGAAAGCTAACATTTACCAGCATATGGGTGGGTAGGCCTCAGCTTGCCTGGTGGAAAATACCGTTTTACCAGCTAGTATGTAACACATGTAGTAAAAGAAAAATGGTGATGGTGATAGTGATGATGATGATGATGATGACAGTGATGAAGAAGTAGTGTAACTGTATTAAATGGTTACCAGAGTAACTATAAATCAAAATTAATTTTGGGTCCTATTAAGTGTGAGTCATATATTCAAGAGGGGAAGAATGTAGGAAATCAACTCCTTCCAACAGTCTCTTTTCACCCAACTACTAAAGCATTGGACAAAAATAACCTTTCTCCACAGCTAGGGCATCTCAAAAATAGGTAATTTAAATTTTTTTAAGGTTATGGCAGCTGGGGTACTAGACCTCAGGCCCATTTCTCCCTTTTCTGCACAGAGGACGTCTGATCCCGGCATTTGCAAAACATACCTCATCTTCAGCTTTTGTTAAATCAACTTTCAACTCCTCCACTCTTGTTCTCAGTTTCCTTACTTCATTCTCATGTTGATCCAGCCTCTTTTTGGAATGAGCTAACTCCTCAGCCTTGAAAAAAAGAAATCAGTTCAGGTGACCTCCAAGATGAAAACCTCCGAAAAGTGCAGCTCAGACTACCTGCCTAACATACATATTAGAGAGTTTGGCTTATAAGTTGCAAAGCAGAATTCAACTGCAGCTAGCCAACACCAGATGTTCATCCTAAAGAGGCATCTGCCTGGGGTGTCAGTTTTGAGAAGGAGTGACCCCACTTTACAATGGCCACTTTCTTCTGCCCTTAAGGTGGCCACAATAACCTGCAACCAGGCTGCACTTTTGACGTCACTTTGACGTCATTGGTTCAATATGACAAAATTCTTGCCAAATTCAGTCAACAGTAGCTTGTTATGGTGAATTATGCGTGTGGTTTTAACCAATCAGAAACGGGGAGATATTTTGAATGAATAATAATAATATTTACTTACACTGATTTAACAATGATACTAGCTCGCAAATTTGGCTCGGTCAGTCAGGGTTCTAACAATACATGCCTCTCACCCCAACTGTTTGGCCACTACCCAAAGAGCACTTTGTATAGTTAATATGGATTATGTACTTTGATAAAAATAACCAAAATTAATGGCTTTTCCATTACCTTTTCCTGAAGCTGCTTTCTCACTTTGTTATATGCAAACTTAAGTTCTTGCTGCTCCTGTGAAACAAACATCCCAGACCATTTTCAATTCAAAATACATACCCATGCATTTCCCCAGTTAGAAGTTCAAAATTCATTTACCTTAATTCATTTCTGGGAATGGTTAAGTAGAGTGAGTCTTAATGTTCACAAGCACATCAAAGAGACACTACTGGCTAACCAAAGAAAATAAATAAAAAAACTTCTTGAAATTGAAATCATTAGTGTCTCTCTAGTGAAAGATAGGTACTAGCATTCTGGTAGGTGATTACAATACGAAATGGAAGGGTACAAAAAGAATAGAAGATGTATAAAAGTGGGGTGTTCTGACCCAAACCATCTGAAAACATGAGAAGGAGTCAGCAAATGTCATTATTAAAGAATCCACGAAAGGTAAGCTGCACTCATTTAAGTATAACTATGTAGAGTGAGAACAAGAATCATTTAAATAAAATAATCTAAGGACATTTGCATGTAGCAGAGTTCAACATGTTGCAGATGGCTGCATTGCTGCAAAGGAAAAGAAGGTGCTTGCCTAATAAATGCTTACTTCACAGCAGGGGGGGACCACTGTAGTGCGAGCAAAAAAGTTTTCCTATTTTCAAAGGTGCTTCAGTAATCTTGCAATAGGCATGCCAGTATCTTTAAAAGATCCACGAAACCATGCACCATAAAAATAAATGCCAAAGCAGGTGTTGGAAGCATTGGTGAAAAGTTTTTCTGTATAATTGCTGAACCGTCTGCCGCCAGAAGAAGGGATATGTTGTTGCAGTGGGGCAGACTTTATGTTTAAGCTACCAGAAAAGACTGAAAGGCAGAGTTCAGTCAAATTTGATTGTGAAGAAGGCAGTGAATGAAAGTGAAAGGTGGTAACACAATGATGGGATCCAGGCAGATTAAATTTGGGGAGCCCAGAAGAGATTGCCTATAATTGATTCTTGCAATCAGTAAGTGCCAATTCCAGCTTCTTAGGGTTGACATCAGACATAGAAATAAGAGAACATACTCAATATGATAATGGAATTGTCACCACAGGTCCAGAAATCAGCCACACAATACCAGGCTACAAAACTACCATGGTCTTGCACAGCTAATGTGAAAGAATTGGCAAAGTCATAAAATTCAGCAGGGGAACTTAGCAAACCAAATGGGAAATGCAGGTCTAGAAAATTCCAAACCTCTGTTAACCATTGTTGCTAGCCAGATTTGTCTTGGCTACTGGCAATTTGTGGATGTGCAAGTATATCCCAAAAAGTGAAATCCTATTAAGCCATTAAAGTATAGCGTGTGATATGCTGGAGGTAAGCAGTGACCTGGTCAAGAGTGTCATATTTGATAGACATACAGACCTGCACCCACACCCACCGCAGCAAACAACTTGAGTAGCGTGGTTAGGAAAAGCATGTGAATTTGCTTCGCTGAAGAGCTAAGGTAAAGGAGAAGAATATTGTATTTTGAGAAAATGTCAGACTGATGTTTTAGTTTTAGCAAAATGACACATCTCTAGAGAGCACTAGAGGGTGATCTAAGGGGTCCATATGCAGGTTAGAGACATGACCATTTAGTTACATTGCCATTAAAACATAATTGAAGAGACAGTAGACACTTGAAGGAATTACCCTAGTTTTCTCATCGAGTTGTGTCTGCAGCTGTTTAATGTCAACACTTCCTTTTGATGTCCTACTTGAGTCACTCAACTGTGCTGACAGATCCTGTAAACAACATGAGTTAAAAAAATATATTAAACAGCCCACCACACTACAGACTGATAAACAGGACATTAGACCCTGATTGCTATCAAAAATGTTGTTTCAGATCAAGGGTAAATTGTTTGGCTTAGTTTACTTATCACTTCTAAAACAGTGAGTTTTCTCCTGCGCCATGGGATGTGACCTGTAATTTAGGCCATGATCACACTATAACAGACCAATTTTTGTGCTGGCGCAGATAACAAATCCAGGGGTCAATTTGAAAGAACACTTAGTATGGCTATTTTTTTTTTTTCAAACTTAGCCACATGGGAAAATTACACTTGTCAACTTATCCAATCTAAGTATAATGTTAACAGCCATGGTACAAAATGAGACAAACCTTTATCACTACAAAGTTCAAAAATTGGACCAAAAGTGGTCCATGTGCAATGTTATTGCCCATCTGGTATGTTTTTTAGATAAGATAAATGCTACATGGTATAGTGTGAAACTTGGTCAACCCAAAACTTATCAAGTGTTCAAAAATGTCTCATGTTACTCTTGTAAGATAAATACCGGTATGACTATTATAAGCAAAGCCAGTATCTTCCAATAATATACATGTACATGTTGTACTTCAAAATGACATTCTGTTACAGTGCGACTGGGAAAACCGTGAACACCTGAAATATGCCCAGAATGTTATTTCTGTTCAACCATGCATCCGAAATCAACACCACAGAGTGTTAAATGTAGCTAAATAACATTTAGGCAAAGTTAAATTCGAGCAAATGCCACCACTGGTCTTCCTAATCTGCAGTATGTGACCTATGGGGTGGCCTCCAGGGGTTTTGCAGGGTTTCAAGGTTCATTACTTTATACGTGCAGTGTTATCAGCTGATCTTTATAGATTAAAAGCTTAGCTATTGCAAATCATTGCAGATTCTTGCTCAGTTTTATTGCCTTTTATTGCCCTTTGTTTTTGCACGAAAACTTATTGCTAAGATAATGATGTCCAGGTCAAAACGCAACAGCCAAGCGGCGGCTTTTGATGCCATGATTTCTCCAGCTAATATCGAGACATTGGCAGCGAAACTTAAGTTTGCCTAGTACAAGTTCATCTGAACCACCAGCAACATCCCAATCTCCAACTTTAAATTAGCTTTCTCCCACCTTTTTGGCCTCTGCTGTAAGTGCTGTCAAGCAAGCACTAGCAGCCGAGAAATTGCAAGCTTTGAATCTGCCTGCGACGCCTGCAGCTAGTTTTGCCATGAGCTTGCCGATGACAGGCCCGCTTGGGGGCATTCCTGGTTCGTCTTTGTCTTCTGGGATGCCCAAGCATTGGTTCTGGCAGCCTCTGGCGTTGGTTTTTGTCTGTCACTTTGCCTGCTACCACTTCCACAACCCAACATAGGCCTGATTTTGTTGTACCTGCATTTGTCTCTACACTTGCTGATTCCTGCTGTTACATCTTCCACCAATACCACCGCCGTGACTCCACTTAGCCTCAGTTGTATTTCTGGGCTGGTCCAGACACCTATTTTGCATCAGCCGTTCGTGGTCAGCCCTGGCTTTTGGCCAGTTCCTGCAAAACTTGTGAGCCAGATCATGGCTGGAAAGTTTGTTGAATTGAACGAGCTACTTTCTGCTAACTTAGTGTTAAGTGAACCCCAAGCCTCAATTACTGTTCTGGTGCTAACGTCGACACCAAAAAACCAGTTCGTTAGAGGCCTTTCCAGTGTATTGCCTTATTTCATCGTCCCATTTCCCGCATCACTGGGAAGATTTGTTGCAATATTAGCTACTTATCCTCCAGACTCACCACCAGTTCACTGGTTTGGTTATTGTTTGATTGGGCTTTTTGCGAACACGCTGCTGTAACGAACCTCACAGGTTGGTCAACCATTAACATGCAGTTATTTCATTTCCATGAGGCTGGGGCATTTTGCACTGGATGGAATTCGTCACGGGCTTCAGATGAGTTAACTGAGCCCTGTGGCGCATTGTCTTTGCTCATTATTTGTCAGTCCTAGCCTGCGAGCAAGCTCTCCTATTTGGGCGAGTGAAGGGAGTCTCGCGAGAACGCGCGAGCGAGCGGAGAAGCCGCAAGGGGCAGGGGAAAGGAGAGCTTCCAACGAGCTCTCATAAAATTTCATTTGTACTTTGCCCAGACGAAGGGAAATACCATTGGCTGAAAAATGACATTCCGGAAATCAAAGTTGATTGATAACAGGCTAAGCTGGCACCCGCTTCGTCTGTGTGTCAAATTTGGTTCTCATGGGGATCAGATTGGTATCGAGAACTTGTTTCAGCTCTCAAAGCCGACGGGCTCATTTGATGTAATTGGGCGCAAAGAGAATCAGTGTGAGCCGAGGGTAAGTCGGACCGCGTCTGTAGTTCTTGTGGAAGGAAAATGAAAACCCTTCATCAGTCGTAGTTGTTTGTGTCAAGCGCCTTGTTAAGTTTTGAAAACCGGGAAGGTGAAAGTGAAGAGTGATTCAAGTGCTGTCTTCCAACATCGGTTTCTTTGCCCAATTAAATTATACTGGGAACATCAGTTTGTTCGCCCGATTGAATTATACTGGGTAGAAAAATTCAGAAACATGTACTTGACAGTGTAGCTGTGTAGCTTGACCGTAAAGAAGGAAAAGAGAAAGAATTGGAAGCAACTGGAGTAAAACTTAAGAGAACCAAGTGCAGGAAAACCCTATTCTCCAATTCCAGACGGACAAATATATGATGTTTTTGTTGGTGATTGCGATGGGGAGTGGTCTTCTACATAGACTATGGGCAGTCTCTCTTTCTTCTGTAGTCCATCGAGCAAAACGCGAGACACGCAAATGGCCACGAGCGTGCATTGCTAAATCTGAAGAAAAAGAGAGACTGCTCGCAGTCTATCTTCTACACTGCAGTATGGATGACTTTTCAAAAGTAAACGAAACGAGAATCAAAGTAGTGAGTTCTTATCTGAGCAGACACGTTGAAGTTCGGTGTCCCCATGGAAAATAAATCATATAAGTGATAAAAAACATTGCTTTGATGTTGTTGCGAAAGCGATTTATAAATGTATAATTCTATGTCCTTGGCTGTCTAAACTTACTTGACAGGGAGTTGTCACTTTTTTAATCTGCGGCACGTTTGCAGTGACAGTTTTCACGCTTTGCGGTGTCCGGGGGTTTCCGGGGAGGTAATAAAAATTTATGAGAGATCGTTGCAAGCTCTCCTTTCCTCCGCCCCTCGCACGCGCCAAGAGAGAATGAGCGAGGCTTGCCCAAATGGCAGAGCTTGCTCGCAGGCTATCAGTCCTGGAATGGGGGCCACTATGTTGCTCCTTCCTTATCATGCCGCTTCACTCACAAATGCTCTAGTTGCTTTGGCCCGCACCGCATTGGAGCTTGCCCTGTTGAGCCACCAAGCCAATCTCATCCTTCTTCCAAGCGGCAAGTTGATTGTTCCCCTCCTCGTTCTAGCAGCAAGTCTAGGCACTAATGGACTCAATTGGACTTGTTCTTTGTCGCGTGTCTGCCCTACATTAACGTTAGCTTGTTTCAGGTTGGAGGACTTAAGCTTTCAAGTCTAGGCCTTATTGGACTTATTTTAGATTTTGTTATTGTTCCTTAATCACTTTATACTCTTGTTTAATTAGTTTGTTTCAGGGTGGTGGCCTACCACATGTACTAGTTGTTCCATGTTGACTGTCCCAGCTGTTTATTTTGCAGGGTTCGATCTGATGGGGCTAGTTATTTACCTTTCTATGCTTTACGTTCTTTTCCAGCTCCTCTACCCCCAGTTTCAGCAGTCCCTCCTCTGCTGGCAGAGCAGTTTGCCTGGGAGTTGCGACTCCACCCCCAGCGGCAACAGGTTGAATTTGCGCTGAATGGAATTCGTCAAGGGGTTTAAATTGGGTTTTTGCCCTACTCAAAAGCTCAAGTCTGCCAGGAGGAACAAGGCTTCTGCTACTCAGCATGCCTCTATCATTGATGCGTATTAAGTGAACGAGGTTTCCCTGGGCAGGGTGGCAGGCCTGTTCGATTCCCTCCCCTCCCAACCTCCAAATTAGTAGCTTTGGTGTCACTCCAACAAAAAGCTCCATTCATCTTCAATATGATACCTGACATGGTGGAGGGGATCCTCGTTCATTCTTATCAGATCCCTGATCTGCTTCATTACCTAGATGACTTCATGACTGTGGGCCCCCCTGAGTCATCTCAGTGTGCACACAACATAAGCACCACTATAGCAGTCTGCAAGTGTTTGGGCCTGCCTCTTCACCCAGGCAAGTGTGTGGGCCCCTCGACTGTGCTCGTAGTCCTTGGTATTGTTGCTTGTCTCCCCACTGAAAAATTGTTGGCCTTCAAAGAGCTTATTACTTTGTGGCTTACACAAAAGTGGTACAATAGGCAGGATCTAGAATCTCCTATGGGACATCTGCATCAGGCAGCAAAAGTGGTTTGGCCTGGGACAACTTCTTACGCTGCATGATAGCGGAGCTCTCGCGCGCGAAGCGCGCAGCGGAGCACCATGGGTAAAGAAATGTGGTAAACTACCCATCCGAGAAAATTTGGTAATCACGTGACCGTACACCGACCGCCCGCCCGACCGTCCGTCCGCACCACAGGCATACCAATGTAAAATAATTCAATCAACAGGTATGGCAACCCAAATGCAACTCAAGGTTTTATTTGGAAAGAATTCGCATGGCCGCCCGGACTTTTAGGAAGAAAAAGACAACAACAAAGTCGTGTTTTTTTCGCCGTTATTCCAGAGAAAGAGCTAGAGCGAGTGATTAAAAACAAAAGAGACGAATTTTGTAGGAAGAAAAACATGAAAATTCAAAGCCGGATGTGTGGCAATGAGAAATGCTGGCGGCCAGCAAGGTGTAAATAAGCGGCAGTGAAAAATAAAAGCGAACATGAACACAGGAGACAAAATGTTGAGTAAGCACATACGACAATTCCTCCATAAAAATAATGTGTAACTAGGAAGATTGACGTTTTAGTCCTACAAAACAGCGCTGTAGTTGTGCAAAACAACGGCAACTGAAAGACAAAAAAGCGTGCTGCACGTGCAAATTTGTTTTTTTGCTAATTAGAAAAAAAGTGTGCTGCACGTGCAATTTGTTGTTTTTTACTAATTAGATCTATTGATCTTGATGCCATTTTCATTGCCCTCCCCCTTTAGCATTACAAGATTTAATTTTTTTTGTTTACAAGTATTATTGGCCAGAGCTTCGCTTTTAGCCGTGGCTAAATCTATATATTAGACCTTTTATGCTGCTTTCGAAAAAGAGATCACCCACTTTGTCTTAACAGGAAATTTCACTTGGACCTCCTGTGGTGGCACCACTTTTTCTCAGACTGGCATTGTGTTGGTTTTTGGCTTTTCCCAGGTCTGGTCCCAGAGGCAGATGACGAAGTGTTGTCTGATGCAGCTGGTTCACTTGGTTACGGAGCCTATCTAAAGGGTTACTGGTTTGCAGGTTCTTTGGCGCCTTCTCAACAGGCAGTCTATTGCTTCTAAGGAGCTCTTCCCAGTCGTCATTGTTGCTCATGTCTTGGGCCACATGTGATGCAAGAGGCAATGATGTGGTAGTCCATATTCTGAATGCTAGGACCTCTGAAGTACCTAGTTTAGTATAGTTATTGCGCAGCCTGCTTCTCGCTGCTGCCCATCATAGTTCTCCTTTTCTGCTCAACATGTGCCCGGTGTTAACAATCAGATAGCTGATACTGTCTCATTTTCATTAGCAGGACTTCAGGCAGTTGGTTCCGAATGCACAGCTTCATCCTACTTGGATCCCTCCGGAACTTCTGCCGGGAAAGCTAAGGTGCCAGGAAACTTCTCCACCCACAACTTTCACACAGGGGCTGTACTGTTCAGCTCGCAATGGAGTACCTGACCATTTAATACAATCTATGGGCTGCTGGTTTGGCAATACTTATCAGCTTTACATAAGGACGCCAGCTGAAGCATTAGCTGCCCTTTCCAAACAGTTCGCCTGACGAGGTTCTTAGAGTGCCTGCAGTGCCTTCTTAGCACTCATCTCTGGTTCCCACATCATTATCTTCCTGGGTCTGATGTTCGGGACTTGCCAGCCTCTCTAGGTTTTGTGTTGTTGTGGTTTACCATGGTTTTAGGTTATTGGTGCTTGGGATTAGGCTGGGAATCGGAGGTGCCATGTCACCCCTGTTCACGAGTCCCTCTATTCGCCAAGCACCTGGAGAAGGGTTTTGATTGGGTGGTTCCTGAATTCCAGGGTTGCCATGGATACCTCCCTGTGGCTAAGGCATCTGGCACCCTGCTACCCTCTAAGGCACCAGTTCCCAAGCTCATCTATCGGTGATGAGTTTAACTGTTGTTTGCGTGGCAAGTACTGTGTCGGCTTTGGATTTTCCGCGCAATTGATTTAATTTCAGCTAATTCTGGTCATTTAAGCTAATACTACTCATAAGGAAACAGAAAAGCGCATGTATTTGTCCTTTCACTGATCACTAGCACTCCAAAGCAATTGTTTCTTTTAACGTATGGCGCCTTCACTTATTCCTGTATTATCTACTTCTCTGAATTAAAACAAGTGAATTCCACAAAAAATAGGAGCAATTTATTGAACAATGAAAACTTATCAAAACCAACTCAATAGTTGGCCGATAATTTGGAACCAATTTCACAATTTAACATCATTTTAAGCAAAATTGAACATTTTTCATTCTTTTGATTTCGCTTAAGCCGAACTCATGTTTTTAACGGTCATTCAGTCTGCAGTTTAATGGCATGTGAAGTCCTCAAACTTGATGGGCTTAAAAACAATAACCATTCCTCGCATATTTTAGGTGTTCACGGTTTTCCCGGTTGCAATGTAATGGTTTGATTCTAAATCTCTTTTTTGTTCTAGCCCCAATATAAATATTATCATCAATAACTACAGTGAATAACTAGGGGTAGGAGACAGAGGAAATAATGAAGATATTTGCCATAATGAAAAATTAAGGCTAGGAGACATACAAAATTGGGAATCACACTCAGTTGACAATATTTTAACCTGAATTATTATTCTGAACTAATAAATAAAATAAAAATACACATATCCTACTACAATAATGAATATGTGAAAAACAAAAAACTGTATGCACATCAACAATCAATGGTTTGCTGCAATTATTTTATGTATGTACGATACCTCAATCTGCAATCGCAACTTTTTTATTTCCCTCTCTAAGGCCAGTTTATCACTCTCCAACTTCTCACGCCTGCCCCACTCTTCTGTGTTCTCCAACTGTAATCTTTCAATCTGTCAATAAAATATTTACACAATTAATAAAGTTCCACCATCATGTAATGGGTCAATTAGCTACATTGTAAGTAATGTACTTAATTAAGTCATCGTTGTACAATGCGATGAAATTATATTTTTGCTTCCATAGGTGGTTGATTTTGCTACCTTTAACTAAAAATATCCACAACCAAACTATTCTTGTTTAGACAGGGTGACAATAGAAGTAACAAGAACGCTCTTAAAGCGTTACAGTCTTACTTGCTTGAGATAGATAAAAAGTGAAGAGGTCATTTATTCTACTCACAAAAAGTTTTCACTTCCTTCTTTATCGACGGTCGAGTATTCTTCAGGATATTTACTTTTTATATCGTATTTAACAATGATTAAGTTGTGTATAAATACTGGTAAATGAAAATCGAGATAAATTACATCATTGCAAGAGAGAAAAAATAGTCCTCTGGGAGGACATGAGCTTACTGGCAATGAATAGTCTGTATGAAGAAAAGGGTAATGAATTGAGATTGGCCAGATTAATTTCTTTGCTATTTATGTCCATTCGTAATTTGTTTTGTTTGAGGTGATTTTGTCTTTTTATCTTAAAGTAATTCCCTAATTTTAGCAACGATTATAAAAGTTATCATCAGTTGTATTGCTAACAGAACTTCGTTTCCTCCAACTCAACCTGTGATCACAATCATGACTTAAAACTAGATGCCACTCACTTATTGCCATTATCAACCACTGCCGCTTATAAGCCCTGCCACTTGTAAGACCCCCCCCCCGAAAGAAAAATACTCCTGGTTATAAGTGCCCCCGGATATAAGCACCCCTCCAAATGTACTGAAGTGAATTCAACTTATCAGGGATCCATATTCGCAGTCGTCCAGTCGTCCCNACAATCATGACTTAAAACTAGATGCCACTCACTTATTGCCATTATCAACCACTGCCGCTTATAAGCCCTGCCACTTGTAAGACCCCCCCCCCGAAAGAAAAATACTCCTGGTTATAAGTGCCCCCGGATATAAGCACCCCTCCAAATGTACTGAAGTGAATTCAACTTATCAGGGATCCATATTCGCAGTCGTCCAGTCGTCCCAGACGACTACAATCTTGCATGGATGATTGAAATAACTCCAACAGTCATCCTTTCAGGGCTTCTGATATTTCGCGCGGTCTGCGAAATTCAGGTATTTCCGCGAAATCCTGCGAAATTCCCAAAAAAACGCAAAATACCCCGAAATCCACCAGAAATATTTCTAAATACATGTCGGCAAAACATATTTAATACTTATCTTGGCTATTAGACCGGTTTTATTCACCCCAACGTCCAAATTTAGCTTGAAACTTCGTCACTGCAACGAGTAAACAACGTCCCAAAACTACCAGGCATTTTTAGATGAACGTTGCGAAAAACTGGGCGCTAACCATAATGTTAATGGCTTTAACATTCGCTCATTTCTGGAGCGAACTGTTGTTGAAAGAGCAAATGATTATCCCTGTTTAAAAAAACGTTTACCAACATTGGTCATATCGACACAAAATTGATCGATTTTAGCGAAATTTGCCAAAAAAAAAACCAGCGAAATTGGCCGTTTTTTACTGATTGTTTCTTGGCGAAGTTTCCACCCCAAAATTTCCCCTGAAATCGGCCGATTTTCCTAAAAATTTGCCTCTGAAAATCCTTCAAAAATTGACTTTTTTCCACTAAAATCCCACGAAATGGGCTGATTTTTCTGCGAATTTTGACTTTTCTCTCGCGAAAATCGCCTGAAATCGGCCGATTGTTGTGCGAATTTGGACTTTTTTCCCGCGAAATCAGCGGATTTTTCTGCGAATTTGCCCCTGAAAATCCCGTGAAATTTTTGTTTTTTTTTCCACGAAATATCAGAAGCCCTGTCCTTTGGAAGAGTGAGGTTTCACTCAACCACAAAATCTTTCCAAAAATTCTTATATGATTTTATTGTGTACATTCTACCTGTGCTCTGATTACTTCTCGTCCACTTAAAACTTTTAGAATAACAGGGAATAACACACAACTTTTTTATGGAATGAAATGGTACGTTTGTGCGCCATCTTTGATGGTACAGTATTTTCAACGAAAGGATTGCAGGCCCAGTTTTCATGCTGTCAACCGTTAGCATTTTTTATTTTGTGAAGAACTACATTCAAGGGCCATTTGCAGAAAATGTGACAGCACTCATCAAGATTTGGCATTTTTTAAAGGGCATTTTGCCACCTTTGGCTGAAAAAATGAGCACAAGCTGCTGCCTTTTACCGGGAAAAAGGTAAGCGTACCCTCTTGCCTTCATGCCAAACTGACAGACTGTGCAAAAGTGGCTACTTGTAAAACGTAAATAAAAAGTGCTTAGCCTCAAGCCTGTAGCCTGTTTTACTTTACAGTTTAGTTAAAGCCCCTTATTAGCAACTATAACAGAAATCAGAGGCATATATGCTTCTGCAGAAATAAAGTGCAAATAAAAAATGATCAAGCTGCACACAATTTTATCACCATTCTTCCTATATTGAAAGTCTGATGACTCTGATAAAAAATGAAGATGGATCCCTGATTTATTATCATGTTTGGAAGCTTATTTAAAAACCAGTGAATTTAACACATTTTAAACAGCACTGCTATAGCTTTTTACTACCCTCTGTTTATTAAGCCGGTAGCCCTCTTAACACCCCTTACAAAGATGTATAAACCCAGAGCTTCTACGCAGCAGTTTATGGCATTAGTATTTCAATTATGCACTCAACAGTTGAGCTACAGCTCATGCAACAGAATTCAAGTTTTGAAATTCTTGGATGAAAAGGAATTTTAGTGCCAGTTCGTTTGATTTAACTGAATAAATAATTTTTTTACAAGCAAAGTTTAAACCTTACACAGTTCCTTTCCCTTACCTCCCCTCTTAATTCAGTGATTTTGCGAACATTTTCTGAGTTGTTGCCTGACTGATAAGCATCCTCCTGGTCAACTTTGAACTGTTGTTCATGTTTGCTTCTGAGTCTTGCTACCTGTAAAATAGATCCCATTTATGACAACACATGATAAGTTGTGAAAGTGAGTATGATGCTCGCATTTTAATAAACAACCTAAACAGCTGAAAAAGAACCTAACAAAATGTAGCCTTGACCAGGATTTTCAAGCTTGAATTTTTCAGGTTCTTTTTCAACTGCTCAGGTTATTTATTCAAATGCAAGGATCATATTCACTTTGATATATTCATCCCCGGTTCAAACTATGAGGCACTTCATATATTTTCATTCACATTATAAGTTGTTTGGGCCAATTAAGAAGCCCCAGGAGTGCCTTAATTAGCCTATTCTCCCCTGGGGATTTTGCCATTTAAAGGCAGTCTTGCCATTTTCTGGTCACTATCTGGCCAAGAACAACCAAAGCTACCCAAAATGTTGTTTACAAATCAAATACTACACTGGCTTCTGTTC